AAAAAAAAAAAAAAAAAATTTCCATATTTAGTAGAATTTCAGATGTACCCTTGAATTCATGAAAAATCATTCTTTGGTTTTATTTTTATTTTTTAAAATTTTTGGGTTTTTTTTTTCCAGTACCGGGGATCGAACTCATGACCTTGCTTTTGCCGGGCAGGTGCTGTGCCCTTGAGCTAAATCCCCAACCCCATTCTTTGATTTTAGAAATCTACAGTTTTCAAAACTACAAGGCTAAGAGTTTTGAAATTTCTACGTAGTGTTTATTATTAAAAAAAGTTCCTCACTCACCCATGACATATGCTAATACACTCTTGAGTTCTCCTCTCTGCACACACTCACACAGCCTATACAGATGCACAGGTATACATACACACACAAGTATTTACGTCTACTTTGAAATCTCCATTTACATCTATATTTTAATTATCAGAACACCTAAGTTTCAGTTGCTAGGACAACTGGTAACTAGGTGGCATCTTCTCACCTGCAAATTAGAGGGCACTGCTGAAAATGTCAATTTGCTTCTTCTTTATTGCTACAATTTTGGAAAACAGACGAAGACATCCGTTATGTACCCGATTCTTCAGCCCTTGAGCCTGGTTGTCCAAATTCTGAATCACAGACTCTGCTTCCTGGGCCTTTGGGAGCACGTTCCTTGAGATGGTCAGAGCGCCTTGACAGCTGGGGTCCACCGGGCCCGTGCAGAGAGCGCCCCCACAGGCAAGGGGCTGCGTGGCAGGCTCCCTAGTCTTCCGCCCGCCTCCCAGCAAAAAGTATTCCATTAAGAAGCAACTTCCGGCGCAGATTTTTCTAACGCCACCCAGGCTCGCTAGGCTAGACAGTTGTTCAAGTGATGTCTGCCGTAGTTGTTCACGCTTAACACATGGGGTCTATTAAATGTTTCCTAGGTAGCTAAATAATGCCCACGTTATATTTATAGGTTTTTTTTAAAAAATAGTCCAAATTTAAGGTTAACTTAATTTTTATTCTTTTAAGGTAGATTTTAACTTTTACTAATAATGAGGAAGGAGTAAAAGTCCATAATCTGTACCGTTTTGAAAATGGTAAATAATATGACCTAATAAAATCAAGCAATAATCTTTTGTCTTTAATTTTGATCAATCCTTGAATTAAGAATCAAAATAAAGAGCCGGGTGTGGTGGCTCATGCTTGTAATCCCAGCACTCAGGAGGCTGAGGCAGGAGGACCATTGCAAGTTCGAGACAGCCTGGGCTACAAAGTGAGCTGAAGGTCAGCCTGAACTGCACAGCGAGACCCTGTCTCAAAAAGACAAAAAAAAAAAAGACTCAAAATAAAGTATAATTAAATATGTATGTGCATGTACATTCTCTCTCTTTCTCTGTCTCTGTCTCTCTTTCTCTCTCTCTCTCTCTCTCTCTGTAGTACTGGGGTTGAACTCAGGGCCTTTGCGTTGAAATACATCCTTAGCTCTTTTAAATTTTTTTTAAAAATTTTTTGAGACAGGGCCTCACTAAGTCACTAGGACCGAACTCAAACTCCCGTTCTTTCTGCCTCAGTTTCCCTGAGTGCATTTTTATATTGTTCATATACAGAAGATACACTAATGTAATTTATGTATAGATATGTAACACTCACAGCTTTATAAATATAAATTCAAAAATAAAAAAAAATGTAAGACATAAATACAGTTAAAGAGATCTGAATACCAAACACTTCTACCATACTATTATGAATATTTATCTTATCATTCAAAATTTGGATATCTGTCATTTTAGGTTTTTTTTTT